CCCCTCCCCTCAGGAACTCAGCAGGCAGATTCTAGCTGAGTGGTTGTTGAGAATCTGCATGGCTCTGTCATTGGAACCCAAGGCACCGGTGGTGTTGTACAGTTCCGTGGAAAAAGGATGGTTCGCCAGGTTTGGTAGCATGCTTACTCACTGCCTTCCTTGGCTGGAGATGAGGGCTCCCCGGTCCTGTGTGGCTCTGAGGTGGGCCGCCGCACTACACAGCTCTTCCTTCACCTCCATGGGTCATGCCAGCTACCTAGTCAGTCCTGATGACAGAACCTGGATACCTCATTTGCCACTGCAGGATTCGGATGCTATTTTGGTTCTTTTCAATTGATGCCTCCAATTGCTGCTGCTTCTAGTCGGCCATCCTGGCCTCACTAATCTCAGCTATGTTCTTTTTGCTTAAGACTGATTTGACTATTCATTCTCTTGTGGTCCCACTCAAATTTTAGAATTGCTTTTTCTATTTCTGTGAAAAATGCTGTTGAAATTTTGACAGGGATTGCACTGAATTTGTCGAGCACTTTGTGGTATCCGAACTTTTAAATATTCTTCCAATCCATGAACATGGGATACTTTTTCATTTGCACATTCTTCAATTTCTTTATTCAATGTTTTATAGATTTCAGTATACAGAACTTTCACCTCCAAAGTATTTTTTGCATTATTGTAAATAGGATTTCCTTGATTTCTTTTTCAGATGGTTGTTAGTGCAGATAAACAATAATGATTTTTGTACATTGAGTTTGTATCCTGTAACTGTATTAAATTTATTAGTTCAAACAGCTTTTGGTGGGTCTTTAGGATTTTCTATATATGGGATCATGCCATCTGCAAACAAATAATTTTACTTCCTCCATTCTGATTTGGATGCCTTTTTCTTTTTCTTGCATAATTGCTCTAGCTAAGACTTCTAATACAGTTGTTTCTTGGCATCTGCAGGAGATTGGCTTCAGGACCCCTCAAGGATAACAAAAATCTGTGGATGTTCAAGTCTCTTATATAAAATGGCACAGTATTTGCAAATACCTATGCATATCCTCCTGTATAGTTTAATTTTTAGATTACTTGTAATAACTAATACAATGTAAATCTTAAATAGGTTTTTTTGTATTTTTTATTGTATATTATTGTTTAAATATTTTTCATCTATGATTGGTTGAGTCCATGGATGCAAAACCTGCAGATATGGAGAAACAATGGTACTGTATTGAATAGTAGTGGTGAGGGTGGGCACCATTGTTTTCTTCCTGATCTTACAGTAAAAGTTTTCAGATTTTCACCACTAGTATGATGTTAGCTTTGGCTTATCATACATGACCTTTATTATGTTGAGGTACATTCTTTCTATACCTAATTTGTTGAAAGATGTTATCATGAAAAAACATTTATGTCAAATGCTCTTTCTGCATTAAGTGAGGTGATCATAAAACTTTATCCTTCAATTCTATTCATGTGGTGTATCACATTTATTAATTGGTGTATATTGAGACACATCTTTGCACATCAGGGATAACTTTCATTTGTTCATGGTGTATAATCCTTTTAATGTATTATTGGAATCAATTTGCTAGTATTTTGTTGTGAATACGAGCATCTATATTCATCAGGAATATTGGCCCACAATTTTCTTTCCCTGTAGTTTTCTTATCCAGCTTTGGTATCAGGATAACAGTAGTTTTGCACAATGAGTATGGAAATGTTTCTTACTTTTCAATTTTTCGGAAGAGTTTGAGAAGGATTGGTGTTAATTCTTCATTAAATGTTTGATGGAATTCCCCAATGCAGTCATCAGGTTTTGGTCTTTTCTTTGCTGGAAGGGTTTTTGATTACTGACACAATGTCTTTACTTGTTATATGGCTCTGTTCAGACTTTCTGTTTCTTCATGATTCAATCTTGGTAGTTTGTATATTCCCAGGAATTTATCAATTTCTTCTAGGTTATCCAATTTGTTGGCATATAACAGTTGAGTCTTATGCTCCTTTCTATTTTGCTGATATCAGTGATCATATTTATTCTTACACTTATAATTTTAAATCTTTTCTCTTTTTTCTTAGTCTCACTAAGGGCTTATCAATTTAGTTTATCTTTTCTAAACACTAACTCTTCATTTCATTGACATTTACTATTTTTCTAGTCTCTATTATGCTTATCTCTGCTCTGTCATTTATCTCCTTTTTTTTCTGCTTTGTGCTTAAGTTCTTTTTCTAGTCCTTGAGGTGTAGAGTCAGGTTATTTCTTTTAAAAGAATGCTATAACCTACTCTCTTAGAACTGCTTTTGCTCTATAAAGTCTGGTTATTTTGTTTCCCTTTTGTCTCAAGATATTTTTACATTTCATTATTGAGTTCTTTTTTGACCCATTGGTTGTTCAGGAGTTATGTTGTTGAATTTCTACATACTTGCACGTTCTTCAGTTTTCCCCATTTTTGATTTCTAGTTTCATACCACTTGAGTCAAAAAAGATACTTGACATACTTTTAATATCTTCCTAAATTCATTAACACTTGCTTTGTGGCTTAACATGACCTACCCTGGAGACCGTCCTGTATGCACTTGAAAGGAATGTGTATTCTGCTACTAATGAATAGGAATGTTCTGCATATACTGTTAGGTCCAATTGGTCTATAGTGCTGTTCAAGTCTGCTATTTCCATGTTGATTTTCTGCCTGGATGATCTATCCATTAGTGAAAGGAGGGCATTAAAGTCTCCAACTATTATTGTATTGCTATTTCTTCATCAATTCTGTTACTATTTGCTTTGTATATTTAGGTGTTCCAATGTTGGGTGTATATATATATTTACAATTCTAGTATCTTCCTGATGAATTGACCCCTTTATCATTACATAATAACCTTGTCTTTTGTGAAAGCTTTGGACTTAAAATCTATTTTGTGTGATGTAAGTGTAGCCACTGTGCTCTCTTTTGAGTACCATTTGCATGGAATATCTTTTTCCATCCTGTCACTTTTAGTCTATGTGCATCCTTAATCTGAAGTCCCCTCTAGTCACCACATAGTTAGAGCTTGTTGTTCTTAATCCATTCAGTCACTCTTTTGATGGAAGAATTTAATGCATTTAAAGTTATTACTGATAGTTATGGATGTACTACAGCTATTTTGTTCATTGTTTTCACTGTTTTGTAGGTCCTTTTCCCTCTCTTCCTCTTTGTCTTCCTTTGTGATATAACAATGTCTTGTGGCAGTATACTGTGACTCCTTTCTCTTTATCTTTTGTGTATCTACTACAGGTTTTTTCTTTGTGGTTACCATGATGCTCATCTAAAATATCTTATAGTTACATAAGTCTATGTTAAGCTGACAACAACTTAATTCTGATTACATACAAAAACTTTACACTTTTTAAATTTCTTCTCTCCCCATGTTTTGTTATTAATATCTTAATGTCGTTAGATAACATGTATCCATTAACACATTACTGTAGCTAGTTTAAGAAATATTTTTGTCTTTTAACTTTCATACTAGAGTTAAAAGCAATTTACACACCACCATTACAGTATTCTGAATTTGACTATGTTCTTAACCTTTACATTAAGTTTAATACTTTAATATGTTTTCATGTTGTTAACTAGCATCTTTTATTTCAACTTGAAGAATTCCCATTAGAATTTTCTGTGAGACAGGTCTAGTGTGTCAAATTCCCACACCGCTTTTTTTCTGGGCAAGTTTTTATCTCTTCTACATTTATGAAGAACAGCCTTGTTTGGTATAGGACTTTTGGTTGAGTTTCTTTGGCTAAATATATCATTCCACTCGCCTGGTTTGCAAGGTATCTGCTGATAGTTTTATGAAGGTTCTTTTGCATGTGATAAGTTACTTTTCTGTTGCTTCTTTAAAAGTTTGAGAACTTGAAACTTTTCAAGTTCAATGTTTCAGGGGAGATTTCTTTATACTTCATCTATGTGGGGTTCCTTGGGATTCCTAGATATGGATGTTCAGTTCAGTCTCCAGATTTGGGAAGTTTTCTGTCTTTATGTCTTTAATAAGCTTTCTTCCTTTTTCTCTGTCTCTGCTTCTTCTAGAATTCCCATAATGCACATTTTTGTTTACTTGATGGCATCTCAAAGGCCCATAAGCTTTCTTCACTTTTGTTTCCTCTAACAAGGCAATTTCAAAGGCTCTGTCTTTGAGCTTGTTGATTCTTTATTTTGCTTGATCAAGTATGCTCTTGAAGTTCTTTATGGAATTTGTCAGTGCAGTTACTGTCTTTTTGAGCTCTAAAGTTTAATTTTAAATATGCTTTCTCTCTCTTTAACTTCTCAATTTCTTCATGTAAATTTCCTGATTTTGGTTGGTTGTCTGCCCTCTTGTAGATCATTGGGCTTGTTTTAGATAATTGTTTTGAATTCTTTCTCAGGCAGTTTTTAGATGGCCATTTCTTTATGGTCATTTACTGGTGCTTTTTGTTGTTGTTCTTCTCTGGTAGCACCCTGTTTCCCTGATTATTCATGATTCTTGCAGTCTGTGTTGGCATCTGCACATTAAAAAAAAGTAGGCACCTCTTCCAGTCTTCATAGACTGGCTTTGGCAGAGAAAGTCCTTCACCAGTCTGCCAGTCCAGAGGTTCATGGTGGGCAATCTAGTGGGGTCCTTATGGGGGGCTGGCCTGATACCTGGGTCCTCAGGGGCCAGTCTGCCTCTGGAGTCTACTGGGGAAGACCTGGACCCTGAGCCACAAGGACTGGCCTGGAGCCTGGAACTGTGGATGCCTACCTGAAGTACATTTTAAAGTGTACATTTCAGTAGATTTTAGTATATTCAAAGTTATGAAATCATCGCTACTAAGTTTAGAACACTGTTGTCACCACAAAAAGAAACCCCGTATCAATTAGCACTGTGTAGCTATGTTTCTCCTTTGTAGGAAAGATGTGCATAACTTTGCAGCAACTGTTAAGATCTAATGCTCAGTTCATCATGTTTTCCTTCCCTTGTCATGGTGACCTGTTATTCCAGAGATGGGGAACCATGGCCCCACATCTAGAAGTGGTGATGAAAATACAGACAAGCCCTTGATGAACAAAGAGAAATATGTGGGGGAGTGCAAGAAATAAAGCTTTGTTAAGTTACTAAGATTTTGGCAGTGGTTTGCAGACACAGAATAATCTAGCCTAACATGACTAGTAAACACAGGATAAAAGTCTGTTTAATGAGAAACTACTTAGGAGAAGCAAAAATTAAAAAAAAAAAAAAATGTTTAGAGTTGGTTATTTTAAAATGACTCAATACGAATCACCTTCTTGAAATGGGAGGAAAAGAGGCTCATTTTGAGTCAGATAATCATTAAAAAGAAGTTACTTCATTTGAGCTAAGAAAAAGCCACTTATATTTATCAAAAAGATGTTCTAATATGACTCTCTTCTAAACTTTGTTCTGCTGAGGAAAGCAGGATAGGTAGCACTGTTTGAAACAATTATGCTTTTAAAAAAAAAAAAAAAAAAAAAATTTCTTCCTGGAATTCTGTTTGAAGTTTATTTGGTCTGTAGTATAAGATGAGGTCCTATACACGCCACACTAAACACTTTTCCTTTCGCCTATATTAAACAAAATCTTTCTTCTTAAATGAGTAATCAGAATACCCCAGGTCTCCATTTTTGATATCACATCACTGTTTAGTATGGTTGTGAAATAAAATATGTGAGATATTCTGTAATGATCTTAAGACAGACTGTATTCATTACCAATGCTACAGGCCTAGTTTAGGTTTTTATTATTCATCATCACTGCAAAGTCCTCTCAACAAATCTCCATGCCTTGTTTTCTCCTCTTCTAACCTATTCTTTACTAGTTGCCAGATTAAACTTCCAAAAACACAGTTCTGATTATGACACTTTCCTATACAAAGTTTTTGCTCTCAGAAAAGAAGTAATTTAGCCAGGCATTTGTATTATTGCTAGAGCTACTGTAACAAAGTCCCACAAACTGGCTGCCTGAAATAACAGAATTTTATTGTCTCACAGTTCTGGAGGCAAAAGCCTGAGATAGGGTATTGACAGGGTTGGTCTTCTGAGGAATGAGGAAAAATGTATTCAGTGCCTCTCCCCTAATTTCTGGTGGTTTTCTGGCAATCTTTGCCATTTCTTGGCTTACAGAAGCATCATATTAAACTCTGCCTTTATCTTCACATGGCATTCTCCTTGAGTCTGTGTTCAAATTTCGGCCTTTTATCAGAATACCAGTAACACTGTATTAGAACCCACCCTATTGAAATATGATCTCATCTTAACTAACTACACCTGCAACAACCTCATTTCCAAATAAGATCACATTTTGAAGTCTTGGGGGTTAAGACTCCAACACAAGTTTTGGGAGGGACACATATCAATCCTTAATAGTATTAAAAGGTCTCCATAAGGCTTCCCACTTACCTTTTGAGCTTTATCCCTCATCTTGCTTCTTTACTTTATATCCGAGGAAGTGTAGACAACAAGAAGCCCTGCCCTTTTACGAACCATTAAAATACTTTTCCATTTCTGTGTATTACTTCTCCCCTAATTCTTTTGTATCCATTTACCAAATCCTAAACATTCTTCAAAGTCAAGCTTAAATGATCCTTCTTCCATAAGGATAAACACAAATTTCCTATGTAAAAACAACTTCTCTCTTTTTTGCCTCCCTAAGTACATTATCTACACCTGCCTTCTGCAATTTAGCATGCCTTAACTTGTGTTGTACATGGCTTACATAGTTTATTACTTACCAGACAGTAAGTCCTTTATAAGAATGAGGTACACATTTGACTCATCTTTTACTTCCCACAGTTCTTTTCACAGTGCTTTAGAATAAGTATTTATTGAACAATATTTATTCTATATTTATGAATATCATAGAAATTACAGTTTAAAATCTTGACACTGGTTATTTCATGTTTTTTCATTGCAGAAAAAAATTCTTAATGGACACTTTTTTTGTTGTTGTTGAGACAAGTCTTGCCTTGTCACCCAGGCTGGAGAGCAGTGGCATGAGCACGGCTCACTGCAGCCTCGACCTCCTGGGGTCAAGCAATGCTCCTACTTCAGTCTCCTGAGTAGCTGGGACCGCAGGCATGTGCCACCACACCCGGCTAATTTTTAAACATTTTTTGAAGAGATGGGGAATCCCTGTGTTGCCAAGGCTGGTCTCAAACTCCTGGGGTCAAGTGATCGTCCTGCCTTGGCTTCCCAAAGTGCTGGGATTACAGGTGTGGGCCACCATGCCTGGCTGATGGTTTTATCTTTAATATATAGTATGAAAATAAACAAATGCTTCCCAACCAATACATAGTTTCAGACCCTAATCCTGACCCTATCTAACCAATTAGATAATTTGAAATTACAAATATCCTGTGAAAGCTCATTAAATAATCCTATATTTTTTCATACAATCTTGTATTTAGAAGTTCTAATGAAACAGAAAGCAGCTTCATTTCATTCATTGTTACAGTTGATTCAATATTTATAAATTCCACTCAAGGTAGTTCAAACTTACTGTTTAAAAGGTAGAGAATTTCAGAAAATTTAAAACTGAGAAACAGTACCAAAACCATACAAAGGTTTGAGAGATTTGGGCTGGAATTTATTTCCTAAGAAGTAGGGGTGCTTTGCCTGTTCTCTTTTTAGAAGAAGAAGTGAATTCTATATATTACATGTTCCTTTGCCTTCATATATATGTATACTGATATTCAAATGTGGCACAATTTTAGATAATAACTATAAAATAAACTTTCAGAAATTAGTCATTAAGAATGTGTCAAGATACTTCTTTACAACCTTTTTTAATGAATATCATTAAGAATTTATACATTCTAAACAAGCACTTTAAATAAATTTTGGTATTTACTAACTTAAGTATTCAAGAACCTGGTTTGAAGAGTCCAACAGACTGAAAGTCTGCTTTTCAAGAGTACTATGATCATCTATCAGTGGAGAGATTTTCGTATTTCTATATTCTAATAGTTCACGATCCTTGCTTGATGTCAGTAATTCATTATCAACTATACCAATAGTTGCATCTTCCACCAGAATATTTGCTTGATATGCTCCAACCGGAACTTCAGGTAATCCAATGTAGTCATGATCAGCCACTACTGATCCTTGCAAGAGATAAAGACTTTCTGAAAGAAGAAAAATCATACATTTGACTTTTAGAATTATAATTAAGCATATTTTTTAATTAAACAATTTTAAGTGAGGAATAAAATCCCAAGTAATAAAAATTAACTATCAAGATTAACTTCTAGGGAGTTCTACGGTCTACTAAATAAATATGAATGTCAAAGAATAAAAAAAAAAAAATGACATATACATTTGACAGTTCATACATAAAAAATGCAGGAAAGGTCAAGGATTTTAAAACAGCCATTTTTCTATTCCCTCAACCTGTCTTTGGTAGATATGTATGTATGAGGAACACGGGATAGGAGTGAGAATTATAGTATAGATTAAAAATAAAATTATAAGGCTGTGTACACTGCCTGACGCCTGTAATCTCAGCACTCCAAAGCCAAAGCCAGTGGATTGCTTAAACCCAGGAGTTCGAGATCAGCCTGGCCAACACGGCGGAAAAAAAAAAAAACTCGTCTCTACAAAAAATACAAAAAAATTAGCAAGGTGTGGTTGAGGGTGTCTGTGGTCCTAGCTACTTAGGAGGCTGAGGTGGAAGGATCACTCGAGCCTGGGAGATTGAGGTTGCACTGAGCCATGATGGCACCACTGCACTCCAGCATGGGTGACAGACTAAGACCCTATCTCAAAAAAAAAAAAAAAAAAATTTAAAAAAAAAACTATTTTTGATAATGTTATCTTTAATATGCTTCTGTAAAGCATTTCTGGGTGAATTAATAGGGTCATAAAATTATTTTAACAAATATAATTATTAAATCCTTGCATTTACAAGTTGACATAATTTTCCAATCTTTATAAAACCCATATTGGAAAAATAATATCAAATTGTTACAGTATGAAGTTAAAAACAACATGCCAACTCAGGCTTATGTGATAATGTGTAAGAAAGTAGGTTGCAATGGAGTAGCGTAAAAAGCTTAGCTTATTTAAATCGAATTTGACACCAAAATTCTTAGGAACTTTTAAGGTCTACCTAAGCCATACTGAAGTGCTGACAGGGAGTCTTCCTTGTCAGTCTTTTATTGTACGTTGAGCAAATATATCATCACCATCAAGAAAAAAATGTTTAAAATGAATGTTAAACTGATGGCAAATCTTCTATATACAGACTAATATGTATAAAAGGATTCCTCCCTATCTGGTATTTCAATCCATTACTATAAGAAACTCTTTTACCGAAGCTGATTAACTTCCTGGACCCCTGCCTTGTCTTTCTAAATGTTCCCCCAAAACATCAGAATATAGATATAGATATATTTATCTTTATTTACTTATCATTCATTCATTCATTCATGGTCTTGCTCTGTCACCAAGGCTGGAGTGCAATGGCATGATCACAGCTCACTGCATCGTTGACCTTCTGGGCTCAAGTGATCCTCTCACCTCAGCATCCCGAGTAGCTGAGACTATAGGCACATGGCACCATGCCTGGCTAATTGTGTTGCCTAGGCTCCTGAAGATGTTAATGGGTTAAGGAGCACTCAAATTTTAAGATCAAAAAAGCGAAAGGAAGATTAAATGCCTGTTTAGATTAGAGACCAATGTCTCAGAACAGATGAATTTGCTAGTATATTAAGTGTCTCAGAACAGATGAATTTGCCAGTATATTTTGAAAAATCAATCCTACTCTACTCATCCTCATAACATTATTACAAATAGCTCACTGAACCTATTTCAACCCCAGAAGTTCATGCATTTAACAACTTTCAATTTACAAAGGATTTAATAGATCACACAAAGCTATTCTCTCTACCAAAAGATGGCATAAGTGGGCTTGGGCTCGTATGGTCATTTATTCTGCCCATAATTCTGAAAGACAAAAAAAAAAAAAAAAAAAAAATCATGCGGCTGGGCAGTGGCTCATGCTTGTAATCCCAGCACTTTGGGAAGCCGATGTGGGCAGATCTCTTGAGGTCAGGAGTTCGAGACCAACCTGGCTAACACGGCGAAACCCCGTCTCTACTAAAAATACAAAAACAGGCATGGTGGCATGTGCCTGTAATCCCAGTTACTTGAGAGGCTTAGGTGAATCGCTTCAACCCAGGAGGTGGAGATGGTAGTAAGGTGAGATTGCAGCACTGCACTCCAGCCTAGGCGACAGAGCAAGACTCTTTCTCAACAACAACAAAACAACACATGAGATGTGCTATACCCAATAGCAGCAAGAGGGAAGAAAACATGATCAATAAAATCGAAACACTTTCAGAGTATGTTGCTAGAGGTTTAACATCAAAGTTTGCAACTACCCTACTGTTAATACTAGAAAAGGCTAAGAAGTAGTTTATAAGAGAACTTTAAAAGGTTAGGTAGGGTAAAAGTGTTGCTGATGAAATTTTCTACTAAGTCATGGAGAATTCCATAGGTTCAAGGCCTGTACACTCCTGCAAAGTTATCAGTGATGGCAGATACCATAGGCATTTAAAAATGTCTAAAGACTCTTTCAGAGGATTAACTGGGAGGTTTTCTGTCTGTAAAAGTTTTTCCATACAGATGAAGTGGGACTACTTTAGAAAAATATGTCTAGTAAATATATGTCGATAGGGAAAAAATATGCCTAGATGTAAAGCTCTTATTAAATTATCATTTTAATTTGCCGAAATGGATTCAGAGACCTTGAACTTGAGTATCTCCTAGTTACACTGGTTAGAAACAAATGGACATTACCAACCTCACTTGATTTTAAGAGGAGAGCTTTTGTATGTAAGTAAAATAAGACACACACACACACACATATACTTTTTCTTGTAAAAAAAATTAATCTTTAAAGTAACTTATTGTAATAAAACTGTAGAGAACAAGGACTACACTCAGCAAATTCTACATAAATCACTTTATACACAATAGAAAACTACTCTGAATATGTCAAAGGCCTGCTTGTTTAGAAAAAAAGTTCTGATTCATTTGCAAGGTTAAATATGTTTCAACTCCTACTATGGTCTAAATCTACTGGAGCTAAGAGAAATGCTCTTTAATTTCAATAAAGATAATCAGAAAAGAGACTCTTGGGGCCTTACATGTCGAACAAATAATATTTTGGATATACTGGGTTATATAAAATATATTATTAAGGTTATTTTCACTTATTTCTGTACTTTTCAAAATGTGGCTACTAGAAAATTTTAAATTACATAGCTCTTGTATTATTATTAATCTACTGGACAACACTAATCTAAAACAATCCTGAGTTAGGGATATAGAAAAGAACATGATTAGGCCGGGCGCGGTGGCTCAAGCCTGTAATACCAGCACTTTGGGAGGTCGAGACGGGCGGATCACGAGGTCAGGAGATCGAGACCATCCTGGCTAACACGGTGAAACCCCGTCTCTACTAAAAATACAAAAAACTAGCCGGGCGAGGTGGCGGGCGCCTGTAGTCCCAGCTACTCCGGAGGCTGAGGCAGGAGAATGGCGTAAACACGGGAGGCGGAGCTTGCAGTGAGCTGAGATCCGGCCACTGCAGTCCAGCAGCCTGGGCTACAGAGCAAGACTCCGTCTCAAAAAAAAAAAAAAAAAAAAAAAAAAAAAGAACATGATTAAACTTTTTGCCCTCAAAACACAGAGGTGGGGAGTAAACAAACATATCATATTAAAGATCTTTTCCAGTCAGTTACATTACATAATACATTTCACTAAGTATTTTTTTCTCATTCTATTAATTATGATTATGACATCTGTTTGATGAAAGCATCATCACAGTTTTGACAAGACTGAATGAGTAAGTCTTTAGTTTCTTTGAAATTAAAATATTCTCAAGATATTTCAGGAAGGTGTTAATCAGCAGTTTTGATACTCATTTTTATTGTAGGGTTTTTTTTTTTTTTTTAAGAGATGGGGCCTCAGCCAGGCATGGTGGTTCATGCCTGTAATCCCAGCACTTTGGGAGGCCGAGGCAGGAGAATCGCTTGAACCCAGGAGGCAGAGGTTGCAGTGAGCCAAGATCGCACCACTGCACTCCAGCCTGGGCAACAAGAGTTGAACTCCATCTCAAAAAAAAAAAAAAAAAAAAAGGTGGGGTCTCACTTTGTCACTCAGGCTGGAGTGCAGTGGTGGTGCAATCTTGGCTCACTGCAGCTCAATCTCCCAGGCTCAAGTGATCCTCTGCCTCAGCCCCCTAAGTAGTTAAGATTAAAGGTGCATATCACCATGCCCAGCTAATTTTTGTATTTTTTTGTACGGATGGGGTTTTAGTATATTGCCCAGGCTGGTCTCGAACTCCTGAGCTCAGGCAATCCCACCTCGGCCTCTCAAAATGCTGGGGTTACAGGCATGAGCCACTGCACCCAGCCTTAATGTTGTTTTAAGGAGTAAAAATAATAGATTAAAAAATCAATTTTTAAATTTCCCTAAGGAGAAAAATAAATAAAAATTACAGCTTCAAAAAAGTCTGATTTGGATTAATTTATTTCTTCAATCAGAAAAAAAAGATAAAGGTTTCAGACTACTTTTCTTACTTTAAAGAGAAGTGACTAAACTACTCCTATATATGGTCTGATAATCTTCAAACTATTAGAATGTGCTGCCATACTAGTATATCCTTTCTCAAGACAAAATAATAACTATAACTTGATACTACATCACTGTCATTATAATAACTAAAACTGTCAATAGATAACTGAATAACTGTTGGTTTAGAAATTATATAACTGGACTGGGCACAAAGGCTCACACCTGTAATTCCAACACTCTGGGAGGTCTAGGTGGGAGGACTGCTTGAGCTCAGAAGTTTGAGACCAACCTGGGCAACATAGTAAGATCCTGTCTCTATAAAAAATAAAAAAATCAGCCAGGCATGGTGATGCATACATGTATTCCAAGCTACTTGGCAGGCTGATGTGGGAAGATTGCTTGAGCCCAGGAAGTCAAGGCTGCAGTGAGCTATTATTGTGCAATTGCACTCCAGCACAGGCAACTATGTAAGAACCTGTCTCAAAAAAAAAAAAAAAAAAGAGAGAAAGAAAGAAAAAAATGATATTAACTAAGAGGCCAAAGAAAGGCTCTCTGCATAAACTATATTAATAATAACGTCAAGATCATGGACTTGATACTATAGACTGTGCTTTGCTTTGTTTCATGAATGCAGATCATAATTGTGGTAGGCAGCATAATAGACCCCTAAAGATGTCAACATACTACACCTTGGATCCTGTGAATATGTAACCTTACATGGCGAAGGAGAATTTAGGTAGCGATGGAATTAAGGTCGCTAATCAGATGACCTTAAAATAGGGTGATAATCCTGGACTTTTTGGGCAGGCCAAAGGTCAAGGGTCCTCAAATACAGAAGAGGGAGGCAGAAGAGGAGGTTGGAGTAAGGTGATGTAAGAAAAACTCAACCCACTATTGTTGCCTTTGAAGATAGAGGGACCACAAGCCAAGAAATGAAGGCAACCTCTAGAAGCTGGAAAAGAAAAGAAAATGGATTCTTTTCTAGAGCGTCCAGATAGGAACACAACACTGCCAATACCTTGATTTTAGCCCAGTAAGATCTATGTTGAACTTCTAACCTTCAGAATTGTAAGATAATAAACGTGTGTTGTTTTAAAGCCATTAAATCTGTAGTAATTTGTTACGGCAACAAGAAGAAACTTATACAATAATGAAAATCATTTCACAAATGGGGCTTTCAACTGTGAAGGGAAATCAGGCTAAAACCTTGGGTGAGGCAGACCCAAATATATCACAAACAAAATAAATTCAAAACTATGCAAAATCTATGTCAGATTAATTTTCCTTTCAAAGAGGAGCATTATGATTACAAAAAGACACTACGGTATTTTAAGATTTCTTGTCCAAATAGTCTGAGAAAGCACTTGGCAATGAACCACACAAAAAAACAAACAGGCCTGCTTAAAATAGCAATGACAAATATTATATAACTAGTACTGAATGTGCTCACTCCACATTTAGTTCTAGATAAGAATGGATAAGAAGTTGGCAACAGAAGTATATCTACTTTAGATAGTCAGTCTTTAATACAGCTATGAAATTTCAAGCCCAGCACAGAGAAGCAATGACAAATGTGGACAAATAAATTTATAGTTCTTTTGGCTATAGCATACCAAAACTTATGTCAAATAAAAATTTCAATGATTATTCAAAATCATTTTGTTTGCTTTAATTCAGCTCAAGGACTCTTTAAAATCAATTTGTGAGGTGATTTTCAAGAAAATCACGGAAAAGATTTTCAAGAAAATATGTAATATTGAGGAAAAAGATGGCAGAAATCACACTTAACTTTGAATTTCTACAAATGAGAAAAATGTAAAAAAAGGATCAAGTAGTAAGAACCAGATTCTAGGATGACCGGATCAGTAGTTCCTTTGGTTAACAAGAAAAACTAAAACAGATTCATTTATTAGTCTTAAGTTCCTTATGCATACACCAGTAGTCATATTGCAATATTACTTATCCTTATATTACTGGAAGAAACTTGTGCAAAGAATTCAAGTATGAGGCAAATATTATACTGCCTCTGTTTAGAGACTGTTCTCAAACAGAGAAGATGAGTTCTGAAATACTGAGTTCTGAAATGTTCAGAAGCAGCACAATATTTGACTTCTTTTCTGAGAAACTCTTTTCTTAAAAACAAATTACAAAATGTTGATGGATCTTGGTTTAGCAAAATTTTAAATGTAAATTTTATAAAGAAGGTTAACAAATTAGAAGTGAGCAAATCATGAATGTCAAAGATTAAGGGGAAAATCATGCTAAAGAAGACAGAACAACATATACTTGTATAACCTTTTTTTCCCTACTTAACTTGCAGAAGAGAGAGATCATTAAAGGTAGCTCAGAACTGAGAAGAGGCACAAACAATGCAAGCTTTTATCTTCTAACAAAGAGACAAAAGCACTTGTGAGTTTTCAGGATTAGAACATAGTTTAAGATAAGTTTACTGACTAAACAACTGGGTCTGTCACAAGAAGGGAAGGTACTAAGAGGTTTTAACATGAGAGTTGTACCCCAGATTAGAAGCAGAGTTGAGCTATCATTACTAAGCAGCCCACAAGGGTTTTACATCTTAAGAAAAGGCATAGGGTAAGTGTAGGTTATTTGTTGTTGTTACTCTTTTTGTTATTAATATTTGCTAAAGCCTGTCATACAACTTGTTTATATTGTTATAAATATATTTTCCATTAAATGTTACTTATATCCAAATAACATTAATGCTTCATCTGGCTAAGTTACCCATTAACTCCCTCTCAGTTATCCACTTCAGAGAAGCTCTAGGAAGCAGATGCATTAGGACAAAATAAAAGTCTTGATAAAGTGGGGAATATAATCTAAAAGCCATGGCAAAAACATCACTTAACTAGGCTATGAAAGAAAGAGTTACAGAGAACAGGATATCTTGACTGTTCAGAACCAGTCAAATTTAGGGGCAAGTATAACTTGTTTACAGAGTGCTATCACCTCTTCTTACAGCACCTTACAGCATTCTGAGGATACCCCACTCCACACCCACACCTGGCCCCCAACCATGACCTAACTAACTACAAAGCAATATTAAAAATTAATGGCATTTTTAAAGTACCCAAATATTTATCTCACAACTGGATTCTGGACAGTATGTTTGCTTCTGGCATTAATGATTGTAGGTGCTGTTTTTCACACCAAAAAGAGGCACGAAGTGACTAACAGAATATTTGTGAGGCCAGGTGCAATGGCACATGCACGCAATCCCAGCACTTTGGGAGGCCGAGGCAGGCAAATCACTTGAGGCCAAGAGTTAAAAACCAGCCTGGCCAACATGGTGAAACCTCATCTCTACCAAAAATACAAAAAATTAGCTAGGCATGGTGGCATGTGCCTATAATCCCAGCTACTCGGGAGGCTGAGGCACGAGAATTGCTTGAACCCAGGAAGCAGAGGTTGCAGAGAGCTGAGATTACACGACCACACTCCAGCCTGGGGGACAGAGTAAGACTCTGTCTCAAAAAAATTTAAAAAAAATAAAAACATTGAGAAAGCAAAAATAGAGATGATGTTAAGATGTTATCTTTCCTTCAGAAGAAAACAAGTTCGGTATCTCCCACATAAACTATGAAAAACATACTAGAAATAAAAAATAAAAATGCCTGGGCGCCCTGGTTCCTACCTGTAATCCAACCACTTTAAGAGGTCAAGGCGGGTGCATCACCTGAGATCAGGAGTTGAAGACCAGCCTGGCTAACATGGTGAAATACCGTTTCTACTAAAAATACAAAAAATTAGCCGAGTGTGGTGGCACGCATCTGTAATCCCGGCTACTCAGAGGCTGAGGTAGGAGAACTGCTTGAACCTGGGAAGCGGAGGGTGCAGTGAGCCGAGATCGCGCCACTGCACTCCAGCTTGGGCAAAAAGAGGGAAATGCCGTCTCAAAAAAAAAAAAAAAAAAAAATTCTCACAGGCCTGACAGTTCCAGAAGAGACACTGTAATAAAACAGACTACCTGGGATAGCTAACAAATTTTATGAAGAAGGGAAAAGAAAACATAACAAAAGAGGGGAGAAAGGTTTCTGTTATTTTTAACTTTTCTCCTTACCCAAAGCAATAAAAATGTAGAGAAGTGACAGATATTTACCTTGTTCACTGGATTCTCTTACGTAGGGCTTAAGGTGCGACATTTTGATAGGTCTTTTCAGTCTAACCCCAGTATTGTCTCTCAGGACAGCACATCCACTTTCTGTAATATAGTCTATGACACAAGGACCAACCCATTCAGATTGAAAACGACCATCCTTCCACCAATTTTTCCTTTGTCTTAAAACTTCATGACCCACTTTTAAATGAAATGGATTTAATTGTTTGGGTTTCTTTTTAACAATGATCTTGCTTTTATTTAGTTCATCCAAATTGTTGTTCTCCATCTACAAGTGTAAAAAGAAAAAGAAGAGATGGAAGAGCTATAATATCTTGAAGGTAAATGTAGACAATGAGACTATTACAACAAAATGGTTACTTAAGACGCTACTAAAAGGTAGGCATGAATTATATTTAATTCTTAAAACAACATTTCCAAGTCAGTATTATTAACCCCTACTTTGTATAGAAGGTAAACTAAGATAGGTTAAGGAATTTGCCGAAGTCAAACAACTCAAAAACAGTTAAGACTAAAGATTTGAATCCGGCTCTACTTGATTCCAAAATCCATAGCTTTCTCATTATTGCCTCTCAGCATGTCATAGCTAGTAAACTATTTAATCAAGACAATAAAAATCTGATGGATAAAAAATTATGGCAAGTATGTATGCATGTCTGTGTACATGCACACATGTATATGCTGAAATTTAAAAAATAAATATAACTTTATAAAGTTTTAGATTACAGTTTTTCTATTGAATAGAATCACCTGGCCCAGTGAAGTTGTCTTATTCTCCATTATTTCATCAGCTTCTTTAATTGCATCTAGAATTCTGGCAAACATACTTGTATTATCACCATCCACATCATGAAGACTACCTGAAGTCTCAGGCATATAAGGATTTCGACTAAACATTTGAAAATATGGTGTATTTTTAGTAGGTTCCTATTTTAAAGAAAAAAAATGTCATTTTTATAATAAAACATTTATCTGGCCAATAAATAGTCATAACTCAGAAGTACAGAAGTATAAAAAGGCACGTACCAAGTGAGTTACATTGAAGGCAAATGAAACAGCTGATAGGTGATCATCCCAGTTGTTTGGGTGGTCAGCACAGTGTTTGGAGAGAAATGCTTTGATTGTGCTAGGTGTACTTTCCATTGGACTAACAGTTCCAGAGGTGTGAGAAATTACAATCTGCTTTATGCCAAACAATCTGTACAGTTCAATATTGATCTGAAAAATATATAAAACAAAGCTGTCTTTTTAAAATTTGTGTTTTATTTTTCCACTGACTTAAAAAAAGCTTCAAAAAAATTAGAATCTTGCGTTTTATTTTTATTATTATTATTGTTATTATTCGAGATGGAGTCTCACTCAGTTGCCCAGCCTGGAGTGCAGTGGCGCAATCTCAGCTCACTACAACCTCTGCCTCCCAGGTTCAAGCGATTCTTCTGCCTCAGCCTCCTAAGTAGCTGGGACTACAGGCACACGCCACCACGCCCGGCTAATTTTCGTTATTTTTAGTAGAGACGGGGTTTCACCATATTGGCCAGGCTAGTCTTGAACTCCTGACCTTGTGATCCACCTGCCTTGTCCTCCCAAAGTGCTGGGATTACAAGTGTGAGCCACCATGCCTGGCTGAATCTTGCTTTTTTGTTGACCATAACATTCTATATGAAAATATACATAAAATATGTAAAATTTCATGTATAAAATAGTGGTTACCCTTGAGTCTTTACTACATGCTGATCATCACACTAGACACTTTACATTATTGTTATTAAATCTTACAACAAGTTTTTGAGGTATTATTTTCATTTTAAAGGTAAGATGCTGAAGCTCTGAGAGATTAAGTGCCTTGCCAAATACACACATACAACAAGGAAACGGGAGAACAGAACTTAACACTAACTTTGAGTTTAATTTTTTTCTTTTTTTGTGGGGGTAGGCAGTGGGAGACAGGGTCTTGTCCAGGGCAAGTCCAGGGCAGCCTCCACCACCTGGACTCAAGCAATCCTCTCACCTCAGCCTGCCTAGCAGCTTGGACTACAGGCATGTGTCACCATGCCCAGCTAATTTTTAAATATTTTGTACAGATGGAGTTTCACCACGTTGCCCAGGCTGGTCTCAAACTCCTGGACTCAAGCAATCCACCCACCTCAGCCTTTCAAAGTTTTGAGGTTATAGGCATGAGCCACTGCATTCAGCCCTCAAGTAACTTTTTAATTCAGTAGACAGTGTCTCAAAAACAACCCACTAGGTCGTAAGTTAATGTTTAAAAAGCATGTAAAACAGTTATTGGCAATAATAAGCATTTTACAACTTTTAACTACTATTATTGGTGTTATCATATTATGTGTAGTGCTTAAAAGAAACCAAAATGAGTTTACAAAACTTGTAACAGTAAGCCTGTTAAATATAAAATAATATTTTTTTCCTACCTCACCCTTCAGACTTTTTTTTCCTTATTATCTTTAGTTGAGTAAACCTTTGGCTCATAAATTTGTCTTTTAAAAAAAGAGTATTTCAGAACAGTAGTATCAGAATAACTAAATAAGCAAAGTTAATACAAGAGCGGAAAGCAACAAAAAGAAAACTACATGTCCCAAACCCCCTTGCAGGTAGGGGTGGTCATGTGACATAATTCTAGCCAAAAAGTTGTAAGTAAAAGCTGTTAGGCAAACTCAGCTGGTACTAGTTTTGTTTGCCCAATACTCTCTCCCTTCTTTCTGACTGAAATGTAGGCATTGTGGCATGTGCTCTGGCAGCCATATTGTGAATACAATAGGAGTGACTCTCAATCACTCCCAATTGGGATAATAGATATAACACATATTATTATATTGGGATAGGGAAAGACAGTCTGTTACTCGGATTGAATACACTTCCTAGCTGATATACATACTAATTCAGGATGCCTATTTTTAATTCAAAAGTAATTAGAAACAAATCCCAGAGAATAGGTGTCATTTGGGTCAGCTTCAATCTGAGTCTTGATTAATGGTTTTAAATGACCTTTGAAAAAGGCTTTACCTTCTTTGTTTCAAAAGGTTGCCTAGAAATGATCCAGGGAATCCATTTGTGAAATGGTATCTTGACATCCTTACCCTATCAGTCCCCCAACCATCAAACCAGATATTCCATCAGTTCTTACAATTCTAGTTTTCTGTAAGACATTTCAAAAAAATTAATTTTTCTACTGAATATGTTTATTTTCTTTCCTTCAGAGGTTTACAAAAAGTTCTTTGTGCATTTTATTGGAACAATTTAGCAAATACACTAAGCTAAGCTGTTAGAAACATCTGTATTTTTATTCGACTATACAATAAACCTCCTACATTGTGTAGTATGTTATAATCTTTAGCAGTGTTTTCTGTTTCAGTATTTGCTGACAAAAGGGTTCATTCTGTACTATCGTTATACTTTCTGTGTAATCGTGAAGCCATTTTAATCACAGCAAAAAGAACAAGTTTTCCCAATCATATGTCCCTTTTTTGTTTAAGCAATCTCACAAAACAGGCCTGCAAATATTTATTGTTACCTTTTTTTTTTTTTTTTTTTTTTTTTTGAGACTGGGTCTCACTCTGTTACCTAGGCCAGAGTGCATGATCTTGGCTCACTGCAACTTCAACCTCCTGGGCTCAAGCGATCTTCCCATCTCAGCCTCCCGAGTAGCTGGACTACAAGTGGCTAATTTTTGTATTTTTTGTAGAATTGCATTTTGCCATGTTGCTTAGGCTAGTCTCAAACTCCTAGGTTCAAGCAATCTGCCTGGTAGGATTACAACAAGCATGAGCCACCAAACACAGCCTATTATTACTTTTTTTTTTTTTTTTTTTTGAGACAGGGTCTCACTGTTACCCAAACTGGAATGCAGTGGTACAATCATAGCTCACTACAGCCTTGACCTCCTGGGCTTAAGCAATCCTTACACCTTAGCCTCCTGAGTTGCTGGGACTATGGCTGTGCAACATCACGTCCAGCTAATTAATTTTTTTTTTTTTTGTAGAGATGGAGTCTTGCTATATTGCATGGGCTGGTCTTGAACCCACGGTCTCAAGTTATCCTCTCACCTCAGCCTCCCAAAAAGCTGAGGTATGAGCCACCACACTTGGCCCTATTGTTACCTTTAGTAAAATTTTCCAAGTCGTGGTTTGGTTACCAGATGACTTTAAACATGACTGGAAAACCTGCTAGCTAATCATAATGGCTTCATATTATCATTAGCAAATACCCTGAAACATTATATGCACTTAGGGTAAGGCTCTTCATTAATTAAAGTGGAAGTGAACCAATATTTCAAAGAGTATTCTCAATAATTTTGAATTTTGATGGCTAATTTCCTATTAGACCTGATAACTGTAGTTTCCCTTTATCTTCAGAGAATATGTTCCAAGGCCCCTAGTGAATGTTTGATACTGCAGATAGTACCATACCCTATCTATACTATGTTTTCCCCTATACATACACACTTAATGATAGAGATTAATTTATAAATTAGGCACAGTAAGAGATTAACAACTAAAAATAAAATAGGACGACTGACAATATGACAACATCACTACTCTTGCACTTTGGGGCCATTCTTAAGTAAAATAAGGGTAACTTGGATACAAACACTACTAACCACGACATTTGATCTGATAACCAAGATAGCTACCAGGTGAGTAATGATGGGGAGAGAGTAGCATATACAATGAGGATATGCTAGACAAAGGGATGATTCATGTCCCATTTGGACAGAGCAGGACAGCATGAGATTTCATCACTATTCGCAGAATGGTGTGCAATTTAAAAAAATTATAAATAGTTTATTTCTGGAATTTTGTATTTAATATTTTTGGACTGCAGTTGACTATAGGAACTGAAACCTCAGAAAGTAAAACTGCAGATAAATGAGGACTACTATAGTTAATATTTGTATTCATCTCATTGATGTGTCTAACTAAGAGCTGGAAGTTACGTAAGACATGGCCAGTACTATCATTTTTTTGTGGTTGATGGGTGTTTGCCTTTTAGTATTATCTGCTTTCACTGCAAAAATCTAAGCTCTCTGGCCATTTTGTGAGTAGTGTGGTGAATGCTAGATGATATCCATATTTTCATTCAACTGCTGAAAGCAAAAGTATGAGTGAGGAAACATGTGCATTCTCACTTTTCTTTCAGGATACCTTCACATAGTATGTGTGACATAGCTGTCTTGTTGATTGAGTCAGGATGCTATTATCAATCTGTATACATTATTAATAAAGCTTCATTTCTTATTTTTTGGATTTAAAAAATATAAATAGAAGTTCCAATAGTCTTCCCCCAGACTGGATTGCCTTAACGTACTACACTGCACAGACCACTGCTATGTCAATCAAGGCAGGCAAGACTACCTTGCCTTCATTTACAAAACGACCACATAAATCTCCTATTATTATGCAGCCAAATTTAATCTTTTTCCATTGAAGTTTATACCACTGTTCCTAGGTTTAGAATGTGACCTCCATTTCTAGAGATTAAAAGTCAAATATATTTTTTTCTGTTTCTACTTTAAAAATTAAAATTCTTTAATTTACCTGAAAATTCTTTTGGTATTGGATTCTAAAATCATATTACAGAAATAATTTTAAACAATTAGCAAATTGTTACCTGTTAATTAATTACATGTTCCTCCTCTACTAGACACATTTGTGACACTAGCTTTATTATTTAAAGCACTGTTACCAAACTTTGTGCCAAGTTGCCCCTTAACATCTGTTGGACACCATGAAAACTACCAGTTTAAGGCAGTTCAGTTTCAACATTAGATCAGGTTACAATTCATTTGATGACATCACATCTTTACAGAACTGTTTTCTTCATCGAATGCTGTGATAAAAAGCAGTTACTATGTAAAAATCAGTGTGAAACAGGAAATGAGGGTGGCAGTGTACAATATGATTCCAAGGTCTGAGAAGGTAAGCAGTGGTCAATAGGTACACATTACCCATTAGCAAGTAATTACGGTTAAGAATGAAATGAAAGGGGTGGGTGCGGTGGCTCACACCAGTAATTCCAGCACTCTGGGAGGTCAAGGCAAGTGGATCATGTGAGTTCAGGAGTGCGAAACCAGCCTGGGAAACATGGTGAAACCTGTCTCTAAAAGAAAAAAGGTAAAAAAATTAGCTGGGAGGCTAAGATGGCAGGATCACTTGAGTCTGGAAAGCGGAGGTTGCATTGAGCCAAGACAGTGCCACAGCATTCCAGGCTGGGTGACAGAATGAGACCCTGTCTCAAAAAAAAAAGAATGAAAGAAAAATATATTGTCTTTCAATTTATGAGTATTTTAAATTGCTACTAAGTGGTTACAACATAAGTACTCAATTAAGTTGTTTGGATGGACCTGTGAAGAAAAGAGTTAACCTGACAGTTAACTTTAACATATTAACACAGCAGATCTGTGACTGCTATTCTTTGAAAGGCCTGCTTACAAGGTTGCACCTTGGCTAATGTCTAGGAGCTTAGGTTTTGGTTATAAGACCAAACACAATCTTTCCTTCTGAGAGTCTGAAATTTTCGTACATGCCAGGTAGAAGGTGCCTATGTGACCAGCCCCCAATAAAAACCCAAGGCACTGAGCCTCTAGTGAGCTTCCCTGTGTTGTCACAACTCTGCTAAAGGAATTAAACATGTCCTGTGTAACTCTACTGGGGAAGGAGATCTTGGAAACTTGTACCTGGTTTTCCCAATGTGTCTTTTCTCTTTGCTGAATAAATCTTAGCCATGAATATGACTATATGCTGAGTCCTCCTAGAGAATTATGAAAACTGGGAATAATCCTGGGGTGCCATGACATGTCCTATCTACTTAATAAATATAACTTTAGATATTTCTTTTGGACTGAGCCATCAAAGATGCTTTGAACCAAGTCTGGCTATCTGATTTTTCTTAAACATGTACCCTGTCAATTATAAAAAGTTTTAACATATGCCTTAAGTCTAGCACTTATTATATTTCTTATTAAAAGTTTTCATATATATTCTCCCCTGTTTATCCTTTCAGGTTAATTTTAACTGGGAAAAGGCCAGGACAAGGGAAAAAATACCTTTCAATACTGAATAGTCTTATTCATGAACATAATGTATTTTTCCATTTATTTAAGTCTCCCTTTACCTGTCAATCATATTATTATTATTATTATTATTATTATTATTATTATTATTTGAGACAAAGTCTTACTCTGTTGCCCAGGTTGAAGTGCAGTGACACAATCTCAGTTCATTGCAACCTCCGCCTCCCGGGCTCAAGTGATCCTCCTATCTCAGCCAACCGAGTAGCTGGGACCACAGGTGCATGCCACCACACCTGGCTAATTTTTTGTTTTTCTGTTTTGAGATGGAGTCTCTCTGTCGCTCAGGCTGGAGTGCAATGGTGCGATCTTGGCTCACTGCAACCTCTACTTCCCGGGTTCAAGTGATTCTCCTGCCTCAGCCTCCTGAGTACCTGTGATTACAGGCTCCTACCACCATGCCCAGGTAATTTTTGTATTTTTTGTAGAGATAGGGTTTTGCCCTGTTGCCCAGGGTGGTCTTGAACTCCTGAGCTCAAGTGATCCACCCATCTCAGCCTCCTAAAGTGTTGGGATTATAGGCGTGAGCCACCAGGCCCAATCAATCATGGGTTTTTAATCTAGAAGTAAATAAAAATTATTTGGTCCAACCTCCTCATTTTAATTTAAGGATATCTGAAGATAGGTTTACAATAACCCACAGTAAGTATTAAAATCTTAATCTCCTAATTTCCAGTACAATTATCCTTGTAGTATTTAATATCATACCTCTATACCTATAGCAATTTATTTGAATTTATTAAGCACTCTGTAATAGAATGCAGAGGGCACTGGTTCTGGACACTGAAAAGGAGTAAGATATGCTCCCAGACCTAAGTAGTTTATTTGTCTTACCTGTTGAATGAATTCATCTCTTTGGTCCATTATTATTTTCTGAGGAGGTCCATATAAGAAAAATATATTGATAATAGCTTTAGAAACTTCTGATGCTGAAACATCAGATAGAGGCAAAATCACAACCCATTTGGTGAACAAATCTGTCATGATTATAGCATATACATGACTTCTGTTGCTTGTATGAAAAGGTCCCATAAGATCAACAGTAACTAAACTCCATGGATTTTCCACCTTGAGAAGGTGCTGTTTCGGTGCTACAATAACTGTATTCTTTGCCACTTGGCAATGCTGACAAGCATATACCTACAAACAGGCACACAATAAAGAAAATACATACAAATGTTAACACTCTACACAATATAAAAGCTGTCTTATAAATCTGAATTTTAAAATGGTTAATAGGTACACTTTACATTTTGAAGAAGAAACTTCTGGACTGAGAATCACTGGACTAAACCTATTTAAAACAACAAACAAATAAAACAACAACAAACAACTGTAGTTGCCACTACAGCTGACCCTCGAACAACATGGGTTTGGACTGAGAAGGTCAGCTTATACATGGCTTTTTTTTTTTTAACTAAACACAAATAAAAAGTATAGTATTGGTAGGGAGGGATGAGAAACTCAAGGATGCAGAGAGCTGACTTCTTGTATATGCGAGTTTCACAGGACCAACTGAAATACTTTGGTATGAGTAGATTTGATTACATGAGTGTGGTGCTGGAACCAATCCCTTGCGTATACTGAAGGAAGACTATACGACTAAATGACCATCTTATTGGGTCTTATTCACATGAAACATAAATCTGGTTCACATTGAATACATATTTATTAAATACTTTAAAAGATCTTAAACAAGTTTCCTGTAATTTAAAATCAGTATGTAAGTTTACAATAATTTCTATATGCACAAAATGTTTCCTCCTAAAGTTATCACATTAAGAAGTCTATTCATTAATCTATTCCAACCATATTTACTGAAATGTAATTTCATTCATAAAATATGTATAGATGGAGAAATTTCTCTCAATAGTGAGAAAAGAATAAACATAAACAAAACCCATGCTGTCCTGCAGCTTTCATTTAAGTGAGGAGAGACAAGATTAACTGCTCAATTTATGGATGGGTGCCATTTCTCAATATATCTCTGGAATTCCACTTTAGAAACTACTTTCAAACTAGCTTCTGAAGAAAAACTGAAAAGCTGTTTAATCACCTTATAGTCACAGTTACTTTTGATCAGAATTTTCATTTTCCAATTTAAACTTATTTGTTGGATTTTATCACAAAAAACTTCTGATTATTTCCAAAAATCATATTTATTCTGCAGTGATAACAATTTGACAAAGATTTAACTGAATGTTTGTAAAAAATGTATGGCAGGAAAAATATATAAATTATGAAAGTCTTTGGAATACCTGAACAGACCCATAAACTGATAACTCACAAATGATACTTAACTGTCGGTTTAATTCTTTATGCTTGAAATGCCAGTCTTTTTGATGCAATACTACAATGATTAAGGAGATTTCACAGCTATACCAAGGAATTCCTACCATTTGGCATACAGTACACTGGAAAGAGTAGGATCAGTTGACTTCTAGCAAGAACCCCAAAATTCCTATAGGTGAATTTTCTATTAGGAGAAGTTGAAGGTCCCAATGGGTCATAAAGTTACAAAACTCAGACGTATTTCGTGATCCTCAAAATTTGATTTTGGTTATATTTGGTTATGGGTTTCTGTCATATATGACATTCTACCTCAAGATGGAACAAGCACAAAAGATGAGAGCACATACTAGGCCTGACTTACTATGAACATATTCTCCTCTTAAAAAAACCTTGTATGATTGCCATTGAAAAGGCAATGATTTAGTCAAACGAATTCCAGCTCCATTTAAATTCTGCCTACACAAAAAAATTCAATGATACAAATCTGATTCTAAATAATCTCTTATCTAAATATGGCATTTTCAAGTGTTTGAATGATGCTTCTTTCCTTTTCAAATTATACTTAAGTGATTCAAAAAAACTGTGAAGGGAAATACAACTCCCTTTAAATGGTTTTTAAATAAAAATAACCATGCCAAAAATACTTAATGAGAGGTGATACCCAGAATAAACCTGGAGAAATAATAAATTGTAAATATCTATCAGAAAGACAGTATTCATAATATTCTAAATACATAAGCCATACCCACTGTTTGACATCATTGGTCACAGATGTCCAATAATAATTGGATTCTACCAGAGTGAGGGTCCTGGATATACCATGATGAGCTCCACTGTCATTTTCATGGCATTCTCTTAAGACTTTCTTCTTTTCCTCTTCTGAAACAATTACCAAACGATTTTGTTTTCTGTCTTTTCCAACATAAAACAGCTTTTTTTCTGGAATAAACCAAAAAGATAGAGATGTATGTAGTTTTAAGAGAATCATAGCCTTCTGTTTAAACCATGAAGGTTTTTGTTTTGTTTTACAAAATCTGACTGCATTTAAAACAAAATATTTATTTGTAATGATGCTACCACACAAAGGTTTTTAGCTGTTACACTTACTTAGACACTTAGGAAGGGCGGTAGCTGCTATAATTTTGTACCTATCAATATAAATAGAGCCAGCTTGTTCACCAAAGCATGTAATAAGTATGGAAATATGAAATTATCTTTCTGTGGGAGTACTTAAAGTAGGAAGATTTTGTAGGCACCTCCTAAAAATGGAATAGATTAGCAAATACATTACATAAAGAGAAACACCTACCTGGAACAGAATTTTCTAAAATAATGTTTTATCATCACTGCATTTTTGCAAGCAAACAGCTCTCTCCGCTTTTTCTATATCTAATTAGAAGGTAGGGATGGTGAAGTGGGGAAGTGGAAAAAACTTTAATCCTCAAGACAATTCTGTTTCCTTAGGAGGACAACTGAGAAGAATCTGCAGCTCGGAAGTAACCAGGGGATGGAGCAAATCACCATCTACCTCTCCAGTGTGAATGGGCTAGCTATTTAAACTCCAAAATACACCATTCAGCTACTAATATGAGTAAGCAGATTGATGAGTGGAACATTCCTTACTTTTTAGAATTAGAAGATAAGCAATCTAAGAGCAGGAACCTTATCTATGTTATTCTTCAATGTATCTCCAAGGCTTAGAATGTGACTGGCACATAGCAGAAACTCAGTTAACATTTGTTACATAAATTATCAAATATATGAATGAATGAATCCTCACTTCAGTTTAAGAGGTAATGGGTCTGCCTAATCTTAAGTATAAGGGAGTTATTGGTAGGGATATACACAGGGAGATGCAAGCAGACATTTATTTATTATCTTACAGTTTTATTAACCTGTTTTGGGGTAAGCCTAAGAGACAAAATTGCCATTTATAACACAAAATCCATTTAATTATCTGGTGACTACTTGTTGCTTATCTCATCCCAAACTTCTCTTCCCCTTCATATGGGGGAAAAAGAGGGGAAAATTTTCATGACCTTCCAAGATAAATATCCCACTGCCTTTCAAATATTTAGTCCATTCAGGAAGATCCAAGGGTCCTAAAATGAATGTAATCCTGAATATTTAATGGCAGTGGTGGGGTTGGGGTACATGATCACAGAAATATAGTTAATTCCTTCCAGTTTTCATGTTAGTAAACAAACCAGTTAACTTTGTCAACATTTTCCTATTAAGCATCAAAAAAGTTCCTCATTGAAAGTGGCATCAGGGCTGGAAAGTGCACCATTAGAGACCACAAAAGGGTAAAAGCAGAAGTCGTTAATTTAGAAAAATGTTTTGTTTTCTTTCATGGTATCATATTCTGTCTATAATTTAAACCACCCTTTTCATGCTTACTGGCCTTCAGTTAGTTTGAGTGTAATTTTTATTTTGCTTTTGATTGAGTGGCATCATCAATTCAACTGGTAATTGTTTAGCAACAACCAACTACTACAGAAGTTCTCAAATTTCCACAAAGAAGAATGTGGGGAAGAATCGATAATCAAAATTTTGAACATTAATTTTACCTTTGAAGACAAATTTTTTTGCTGCTCTTCTTATACCACTTCGCTCACTTGGCAGTGTAGTTGGATGATATTCACCAGTTCGTTTGTAATATGCAATCTGTTTAAGATGAAGGTCACCATTTTTTCCACTACGGACCATTGTGAACCTAGGTAAAAGGTATTTAAAAAGATAACTTAAATTTTAAGCTAACTGAATTGCTATTTCAGTTAAGACTTCTGTCATATTTCTATTTACATATGAACTGAGAATTCCCAGAATTTATTTGTGAGGGAGATAATTGCAGTACAGGAAAGGAACAGTGATGTATATAAACGAAAATACTCAAATGCTATTTTTGATATACCCCATGACAAATTATCTTGTCTCTTTCCACTTGATAAGAAATGCTGAAAATTTTCCACATACTGAGAAAAAAGGAAATGAACCAGTACGCTTCAAAAAGGTTTACTTAAAATTTCATTGCTATCAACTGAAATGTTACTTTCATGGGATGGCACGGGATGGTAACACAGGAAGATCCTGTCATGTGACATTTAAATAAATAAGTTATAAGAGAAGAAATACAGCTTTATATTATTTCTAAATATATTCATGGTTATTTCTTCTTCTTGCCACCTCAGCCCTAAGGTAGTAACTATGTTTGCTGTTGCTAGTCTCCAAGTGCCATGCTGTTTACTTTGTTACTGTCTGTCTATAGAAAGAAGCTCCATTAAATTTTCTTTAAAACCCCACCAGAATGTCTTCTGTTTCCTGCTAGGATTCTGACACAAATCTTACAATTTTGAAATTACATTAAAAAAAAAAAAGATGTTTACTGACCACTGGAGGATCTAGGGATGAGACTAAAAGAGTATTTACTGGAAAGAGAATGCTGGAACAAAGCAGAACAGACTGTGCCTATCACCATGGCTTAAACAGCTTATCAATTCACTTCCCCTATAATACAGCTCTTTGCAAATGTAAATCCATCTTTCTGATCTATTTTTAACTTCCAGAGAGAGTAACAGTACATATCTTACCTTAGGTTAACACAAAGTGTATGTCAATTTAAAAACAAAGGTTCTGAAATGTTAACACAGTCCCATCATAACCTAAAAAACAAGTTAATTATCTCTATAAAGTATTATAAGAAATTAGTTTGTTCTAAGTTTAATTCACTTCCAATTGATTATTAAATATATGATTTTTTTCATCTAATAGATGGCTGTACCCCAAACCAATGTAGCCTATCACAGTTTCTAAATCATCTCAAAGATAAATGGATGAGATTTAAGACTTTTTATACAAATAAAGTAAATAAGACAAGCCAACTGGCGTAAGGACGGACAGATACATCACTGTAATTGAACAAGGAGCCCAGAATTATATCCACACATGTAAAGTCAATACATTTACAACAAAGATATCAATACAATGAGGAAAGAGGTGGTCTTTTCAATAAATAATGCTAGATAACTAGATAACTATACTAGGGGGAAAAATGAACCTTAACCACCTACCTCACATCTTACACAAAAATTAATTCCAGACAAATCATAAACTTAAATGTGAAAGATAAATGACAATGATTCTGGAAGAAAACATAGGAAAAGATCTTTCAAATCTTAGGATAAGCAAAGATTTCTTAAATAAAACACAAAAAACACTATCCTTAAAAGAAAAAAAATTAACAATAGGGCTTTATCAAAATAAAAATGTGTACTCATCAAAGATACCATTGAGAAGATATCTTTAATACATATATCTAACAAAGGACTCAGACCCAGTGTATGTAAGGAACTTCTAAAAATCAAAAAGAAAAGGACAAAACCCAATTCCAAAAATGGGGGGAAATTTTACACAGCACTTCATAAAAGAGAATATCCAATGGTCAATAAGCAAGTGAAAATATGCTCAACATCATTATTCCTCAGGGCAATGCAAATAAAACCACAATGACTAAGAACTACACACTACTGAACAGGCTAAAATTAAAAACCAAAGACAACACCAAGTGTTGGTGCAGACAGGTAGCAACTGGAACTCTCACACATTGTGGGAGGAAAAAATGTTGCAACCACTTTGGAAAACTGAGTTTCTTCTAAAGCTAAACACAAATTTATCCTAAAGGCTTGGCAATTCTAAGTTTATATTCCAGTGCAATGAGTCTATGACTATCAAAATATGAATACAAAAATGTTCATAAATATTTTATAGTCATAATAGCCACTACATGGAAACAGTAAAGGTATCAAGAAGTTTTACCACATATATACTCTGTTTTGGTCCTGTAGCCACTTCTATTGCTACCAAGCTTCATGTCGCTCTAGGTCAGTGCTTTTCAAACCATCTGTGGTGAAACACTAGTGGTATCCTACTGCCCTCCAATCTGCCACGTAAGACCTCTTGATATCTTTACTTTCTATGTCATCCTCACTATACTTTCTCCTCTGCCAGGATTCCATGGCAAACTTTTATTTCCTAATCAATTTTCAATTCATGAAGCCTTGTGTGATTTCAAGTCAGGAATATAGAACCCGTTTGTCTACCCATCCATTTGCCTGCCTGTCATTCTAGCTCTGCATTAATCATCCCCAACTCTCAAAAAAAAAAAAAAAAAAAAAAAAAAAAAAAAAGACACCAAAATCATTTTTAGTTTGTGTCCTCTATTTTCATCTCTATACTACAGTGATACACGTTCTTTCAAGTCTAAGGGACAGAAACCTGTCCCTTCTCAGTTTAGATGAAATCAATATACAGACTATACATACTGTAAAATTAATAATATACTATATATAACCTCCTGTTATAGTTTTCCCTTAATAGTTTTTGTAACTATTAATGTCCCAAATCATCTAAGCGATCTAAAAGAAAATCTAGAAATATCCCATCCTAGCCAGCTGGGAGCATGGTATCTGTAGGAAGATGAGGTTTATAAAAGGAAGATAAAAATTGTGTATTTCCTCCCTTTTAGAGACCACTAAAGGTTGCAAAAACTCCTGAAGGGCCTTAAAAAGAAAAGGGGAGAAGCTTTTTCAGGCCTGTAAAAGCCCACAGAAGGAAAAAACCAAACTCTCACACCTTAGAGGAAGTACAGGCCCCAAAACACAGAGGGATGTGGGTAACTGGAACTGGTAGAAAACAAACTAGCCACTGGAAAAAAAGAAATGTGAGTCTGTGTAATACATAGTAGCTTCTGTATTTTGTTCTTATATTTAAAAACCTCTGGGGTTTCAAGTTCCTACCATCTCGTCTTCCTCCCCCTACCCATTTACCTCCTGGAGAGACCAGAAAATTTTTCTATCTAATGGAAGATGAAGTCTTCAGTATATTAAGTCTATGCCATTAGGACACTGTTGGTTTTTCTATTTATAATGAATATATAAAAACTCCTCAGAAAAGGTCTATTTACTGAAATTAACTTCTCTGCTTTGAAATGTTTAACTTTTGAATAACTGAAAATAGATCGAAATAGAGAAATTTGCTCTCCTCAGAGTAAACCTATAGTACACAGGGACAAGGAAAAAATTTTGTACACTACAAAAATCTTCGGAGATTGAGCTCTTTAAGGTTTTTGGTTTGTTTTTTTCTTATCAAAGTAGTGGGAGAAGACTAACACATACCTATGTTAGGGAGAGGGACATAAAAATCACTGGGAGAAGACATAAAAACCATAAATTTCCCACAGATTTTCATATTTCACGAATGCTTTCACAAGTATATTATTTTCATTTTTATATGGGTGAGTTGTCTTGACTCGACAACAGAACTAAGACTTAAAGGCGTGGTTATTTGCCTGACATAGTCACCTTGAAACTTACTTAGACTATTCCTAGCATATTTTTACCTTCCAAATGATTTACTTGACAGAGTGGACACTATGAGACTGCCTCTGGGCATTATCTTCTACTTAGTGGCTAAGGTCTAGACTATTTAGCCTACCCTCTACAACCTGGCAGGACATAACACAGCTTCTTCTCTCACTAGTTTCCTTTGTATACCCATGGCCATATCCCCAACCATTCTCTATACCTTGGTTTACATCATTTCCCCCTAAATGGTATATCCTTCCACCTGATTAAGCCTTACTCATCTTTCGAAATCAAGCTCTAGCACCTCAATGAAGCAAACGTTCCCTGATCTCTGAATCTAAAGTGATCTTGACCTCTCCTAATCTTCTTTGTGCCTACTGTAGAACTTCCAAGTTTTACCCTTTTTAATAGTTTTTTGCCTGTTCATCCATATAACCTTGAATTTGCTCATTCAGTTACTGAGCTCTAAAACCCTTATATATACCAGATGACACTAACGCAAAGTTAAATAAGATGAAATCCCTGTCCTCACAGAGCTTATGGTATGAGAGGAAAAGAGGAGTATATCAGCATTTATATAGTTTAGAGTGGTGTTATGACAGATGTATGCGAAGAGTACTATCAAAACAGATGTGCAGAGACACAGATCCACCTGGAGAAGGAGGAAAAGCATTGATTGTGGATGAGGTAGAACCTTGAACTTTATTCCATTGCTACTGCCTTACTTCACACTCACCTTCTATCTGATCTTGCGTCCTCTGTCTCTAATATAGTCCTTGTCCTCACTGCAGTCACAGAGGTCAAACTAAAACACAAATCTTATCAAAATATTCACTTAACTCGAAATATGCCTTTTGCCATTCCTGATTGTCTTAGTCCACTTGGGAGGCTATAACAAATAAACCATAAACTGGATGGCTTATCAACAGAAATTTCTTTCTAACAGTTCTGGAGGCTAGGAAGTACAAGATCAAGATGCCAGCAAATTTAGTGTCTACTAAGGGTTCACTTTCTTATGGGCAGCTGTCTTCTCACCGTAACTTCACATGAGGGAAGGGGGAAGGGGTTTCTCTCAGACTCTTTAAAAGATAGGCACTAATCCCATTAATGAGAGCTCTGACCCATGATCAAGTCACCTCTCCAAAGTTCTACCTTTTTTTTTTTTTTTTTTAGACAGAGTTGTGCTCTGTCGCCCAGACTGGAGTGCAGTGGCATGATCTCAGCTTACTGTAACCTCTGCCTCCCAGGCTCAAGCAAATTTCATTCCACAGCCTCTCGAGTAGCTGGGACTATGGGTGCATGCCACCATGTCCAGCTAATTTTTATATTTTTAGTAGAGATGGGGTTTCACTAT